ACCCCCTTTGGTGATCCACAATTACTTGCGAGGACGACGCGTACTGCACCCTCCTGCCGTTGTTGTCTGCGGGTCTGTCGGCTTGGGTTGGTGTAGATCCTCTTTCTAATTCGTACCGGCGAGTAATAATGCATGTAGGTAACGACAGCGGCCTCAAAGCATTTTAAAATTTCTTTCACTGCGTTGATTGTCCGAAAACATTCATCAAATTCCGGTTTGACAGAGATGTGTATTGTATTGTAATCGGGGATGTTTCTGGCGAACTGAGGAGTTGGGCGCCTTCTAGTTGCTCCTCAATTATCTATTTTATTATCACAAGAATAGCATGCATTCCTATTCTGCTTTGTTATGATTAGTCTTTGACTAGCAATTCATTAAAAAATTCAAAAAAAAAAGTGAGCAATTCATTGGAAAGGATCAATGTTGTGTTTCATCGGTCTCTTTGATTGAAATCGGGGGCGGAGATCTTCTTAAATCCCAAAGAAAAGAATGAACCTTCAAATCTATCCACATAGCATGCTGATTTTCTTCAGCGAAAACCTTTTCACGGCCATGTGGATCTCATGCAACAACAACAAGACAATGACAACAGGTCGCACACACAAGTGGTAGATATTTTCGGAGGAGCAGTGCCTCTCCAATCCAATCCATGGCAACAATAGTGGGATGAGCAACGCCATGAACTTTCAATTCAAGGCAGGAGCGGACAAGGAAGAAAAGGTTGTAAAGGCAGGTTGTCACATACACAGTGCAGGTGATATCACCACCGTGAATGAACAAAAAAATGATGCAACTTGTGTTGGTTGGGGGCCCGAGACCATCCATCCATCTAACTGTGGCTGCTGCCGTTGGACTGTTGCTCCACCCTCGTCATCGTCTTCCACTCTTCCTCCCATTTTTACCTGCTGCATGTTCTCATATCGTGCGTGACCTGACAAGCAAAGCAACCCCTGTCCGCCTTTGGTAACTTAAAGTTGCAGTATTGGTGCTGTGTGGCGTTTCAGTTAGTGGAATGCATTTCTGGTGCACTGATGGGAGATGAGCACCACAGTCTCAAAAGGCCAGATGATGACGAGTAGCAGTGTGTTTTAGCCGTGTGGAGGCATCATCAAGTGTGTCGCCTTTCCTTGGTCCAGTTCGATTTGGCAATGCATATCTGAGCGTTTCCTATCCTGGCCAGTTGCCAAACCCGTGGGCCGGCTGCGTGCGTGAGGAGGAGGAGGTCGACAGGGACATGTGCGCCCCGGTTGGATGGATAGATCATAGATAGATTGGCAGGGTGGTGCTGGTGGTGGTGTAGAAGTTTCTGGACGGCGAAACTTCTGGAAATTGGAAGACTTGGCGAGCTCATGGAGACGATTCGGGGTTTCCTGGACCGCTGACAGACGGGCCATACTTGTGGGTAGCGTTGCGCGTCACAGATTAGACAAACATATCTTGTGTTGAGGAGAATTAAGAATGCACCACCATTCACACTTACTAAATGCTGGTGCTGTAGTAGTAGCTAGAAGTTTCTGGATGGAGAAACTTCTGAAATTTGGAGGATTTGGCGCGTTCATGGAGATGACAGACTGGCCAAACCTATGGCTAGCATTGTGCGTGCCAGATTACAAAGATATAAGGGCACACTATCTTAGTCTAGGCATGATAGGGTTAGCACAAATTGGATTGCGTTCAGAGAGAATTAACAATGCACCATTTACACTCAGCCAAACATTTTATTTCTCGAAGGGCCATTGGCCGTATTTTATTAGATGGGACAGCCAAACATATTATTAAAATGGTGGTGCTGCTGCTGGTGTGGTACTAGCTACTGTAGAAGTTTCTGGATGGAGAAACTTCTCAAGTTTGGAGGATTTGGCAAGTTCATGGAGATGGTTCGCTCCTGATGGAAGGAGGGGAGTATTCCACAGTTTGTCAACCTGTGGGCAGCCTTACAGGGTTAGCACAAATTGGATTGTGTTGAGGAGAATTACAATGCACCATTTGCAGCCAGCCACATATTCAGGTTTTATTTTATTTTTGAAAAGGAAGATGTACCCCCGGCCTCTGCATTTGAACGATGCATGCAACCATTTTATTAATTATTTATAAAGACCTTTCAAAGTAATACATCAGTACGTCTGAAGCCGCCATCCAGGCAACACCTATTGTTACTCCTATTCCCTTAATAAAGCATGCCGAATGTCCGAATCTAATACCAGACAGACATTGCACCAAAATCTAACATCTAACGCCACATACCGGGACTGGGTCACACACCGGTCCAGCGCACTCGCAGCGGGCACCACATGCGCACCCTACAAGGCCCGACACCATCGTCTTCCATCGATCCATCTTCATAGCAGAAACTGACGCATCGACCATGTTAGGCCTTTCTGCCATCGACGCCACCACGACGCCAGACAATGTCGTCCTCCTGCGCGAGTCCATCCCCGCACATCGGACACCGAATCTGCACTCGGCCACGCTGTCGAGATCCGTCGCCATCAATGTGTAGGATGAAGCACCGCTCCACCAAAGTTGCAGTCCACTGGTCCCTCGAGCCATGCACACCTCCAAGAACGACGCCCCCAGGGGGGAAACGACACAAGAGTGCCACCGTCTTCTGATCTACTGATCTAGGGTTTCCCCCGGAGGTAGCAGTTGTTGCCCTAGAACTTCTCCACGACGATGCCTCCAAGAAGGGAACGACACCGAAGAGCGCCGCCATTGCCGGTCTTGGCATCAAGCCGAGACTAGGTTTTCACCCAGATCTGTTCGGCGAACTCCATCCAGCTTTTTGTGGACGGATCGTCACCTTCTATGTCAGGGACCGGGCCAAAAGTACACAGCCGCCGCCGCCTGACCAGCCATGGCACCACCACGGTGCCAGAGCAGCCGATTACGTCAGGCCCACCGCACCAGCCTGCCGCCGCGCACCAGATCCGCCGGCTCGCCTAAGCCCATCTAGGCCCGGCGAGATCCGAGATTCAGGCCACCGCCACAGGGGCGTCGCCGCTATCGTCACATCCGCGCCTGGGATCCCGCCGCACCGCGCCGCCGAATCACCGGAGTGTCCATGTGGCCGCCGCCAGAGGGAGACACCACCGCGCGCGAGGGAGAAGTCCCTGCCACCGCCGTCATGGCCCACATCCCGGGCTTCGTCGGCGTGAAAGGAGGCCTAGGGCGCGGCGGCCGATCTCCCCCGTGTCGCCTAGGGTTGGCGACGCGAGGGTCGGGGTATGCTGTGCCGTTTCCCAAGATAATATATTAAATGGTTCTACATATATTAAGAATTCTGATCCTCAATATTGTTTCATTAGTGAAATCGGGGAGAGACCCCTTTCTTGAAATAAAAAAGAGCTTGTACTTGAAGAACAGAAATTTGAAGGAAAAAATGGTGGAGCTGCACTCAGAACACAACACATAACTAGTGCTCAAAGTGCTGAGAAGCCTCTCTCAGAATAAACAGAGCCCAAAATTCCACGTGTTGATCGCTCGTTATCCTAAACAAGAAAATTCCACATGACGTCCTTCTAAACTAAACCGGTCTTTCCGGCACCATGTCGCAGATCTGGAAATAAACTAGCACTCACGAAACCGAAACGATTCCGAGCCACTTTTTCTCTCCGTATCTTTGAAGCAGGAAATATTATGGTGAAATACTAATTATCAAACTGGCATGTCCACTTGTATGCTTCTCCCTCTATAAACAAATGTAAGACATTTTAGGTCACTTTACAGATTTAGTAGTTTGTAAGTAGAAGAATAGAAATTTGAAGGGAAAAAATGGTGGAGCCGCACTGAGATCATGGCACATAACAAGTGTTCAAATCAATGGAAAGCAAATGTATTTTGAAGACGGTACCATTCCTCTCTCAGAATAATCAGCGAATTCCTCGGAATCTTACGAAAAAGGGGGTCCTTTCGGCCGTCCTTTTAAACTGAACTGATCTTTCCGACGCCATTTTGCAGATCTGGAAATAAAGTAGCATACACGAAACCGAAACGATTCCGAGCCCCCTTTTCTCTTCATATTTCTGAAGCAGGAAAGATATGGTAAAGTACTAATTATCAGACTGGCATGTCCACTTGTATTGGGCCTTGGCTAAGGCAGGTGGACATGATAAGGAGATCTGATGAGCAAGTGGGGGAGGCAGGCTCCCATCTAAAGCAACTGCTACCAGCAGCCATGCCAGCCTGAACATCACACCGCATTGTTTCCTGCATCAAAGCCATCATCTGGTCCTTGTGATTCTTCAGAATTTGTTCTTTTACCCATCCCATATGTTTTTTTTCTCTCACACCAACCAGGGCAAGTGGGAGTTAATCTTGTTCGAGATGAGCGAAATTAAACTAGCTGCACAGAAATGGTGGTTGCATCCTTTTTTCTGTTGATGGAAAGGGAGGGCGGTCGTATCACTATCGGAGTATCGGTTAATGATCGAATGGTACTTCTAACTAAAAGGCACAGAAGATGGGACTTGAGGTTGGGACATGAGTTAATTTGGTTTGACAGGGTGAAGGATGGTACTACGAAGGAGACGCGAGCAACTTGACAAGCAAAGGCCCATAAGCAATAATTCAGTCGGGTCCTATCTGCGACATATCTTGTCTTGGAAGAATTTTGCAATGGCCCAAATGGTGAGATTCTTGAAATGTAGAAACTGACAAGGTTTTCCAGTTGCAACAAACAAAAGGGGGTTACACATACGTACCTGTCGTCGACGAATATGAAGCCTCATATGCCGAAGAAAACAAGCTGTTGCTGTTGAGTCTCAGTTTTGTGCAGATCTCTGTAACTGGTCATCTAGTGCAGAGAACCATCTGTGCTAGAATCAACAGAGGAGCATTACAAAATACCAGAGAAGTTCACATTAGATTAGAGCATGTCCACATATGCTATATATACACGAGGTCTCACATAAACGCGACGGCACAGGTCTAGAACAGATCAGGCCAACAAAATAGCCATGTAGGAGAGAGGGACAGGAGAGATAGAGCATCCTTTTGGCCGGTCAGTCCTGCTTAACTATCATATGGAAGGTTTTGGTCTTGTCTTCATCAGCAAGCTCCTCGAGAAGGTCATCATCAATATCAGTCACCGTGTTCCGTAGCGGATCATCAAAATAGCGTCCGTGGAAGACCATCTTCGCCATCCAAGCCTTCCTCCTGTTGCGGCTGTACTTATCCTCCTCCCATGTACCAGATGCCACCAGAAGGTAGACATACACGGTCCTCTCCTGGCCAGGCCTGAATGCCCGCGCGATCGCCTGCCTGGTCTTGGAGTGGTTCCATTCTGAATCCAGCATGACCAACCTTGATGCACCTGTCAAGCTGATGCCCTCGGCGCAGGCTGTCGTCGAAGCAATGAGCACCTTCCTCTTACCCTGACTGTCAGTGTTGAATTTGTCCATGACGTCGGAGCGGACGGGCAGCTCCTGATCACCTTGGAGCACCAGGACTTCCTCCCCGAGGCGCCATCCGAACACATTCTCGATCAACTCGACAAGAAAGCTTATCGGGGACACGTTGTGGCAGAATAGCAGCACCCTCTCCCCCCTGTACGACGACTTGTGCAGCAGATCGATGACAAACTTCGCCTTGCAACCGACAGCAAAGTCCCTCTTGTACTTGTCAACTTTATGCAATTCTTCTGGAGTGAAGTAAGTGCTACAAGATTTGATTGTTTTTATGAGCCATGGATGGATAGACGCAATCGTGATGAGCAGCTCAACCTCGAGAAGGTAACGGCCGCCGCATGACGTGGCCATCGATATTCTTGAAAGTATATCCTCTTGAATTTCAGTGGGTTTCATGAAAATTGTATATACATGTATCCCTGGAAGGCTCCTTAGCTTTGACCCTTCGAATGAATCGATGAACCCACATGTAAGCTTGTTTAACAAACTGATACCACCTGCCCGGTCCCAGTTGTCGCTGGACTCGATCATCTGCCCAACTCTGTCCACGAAGATGCGCCTTGCCACTGCTTCTCTATGTTTAGCTCTCCTGCCCCTTGTCTCCTTCTTCCTTTCTGGGACAAGCGCAGTCATAACATCGTCGACAAACCGAGGTCTGGCCAGAGATAGGGTGTTGAAATATTCTTCAAAGTTATTCTGGAAGACCGTACCAGACATGAGGATTCTAAACTCAGTCTTCACCTTCATCAGCACCCTCCTCAACTTGGATTTGTTGCTCCTCGGGTTGTGTCCCTCGTCGAGGATCAACAGCCCAGGGTTGTTGATCAGGACTTGCGCCATGAATGCTTGCTGCGGCATTCTTGAGTTTTCTTTGGCCAGACGTAAGAAAGATGAGTATGTCATGAGGAGAACACTTGGATGCTCATGCCACTTGCATAACTTGTCCAGCCGATCCACAAGGCAAATATTTTTCCAGTTCGGTCGGCGAAAATTGCTTAAAATTGCCTGCAGCCTAGGATCAATAGGCCCCATTGGCTTGCCTCTTTTGTCAGTCTGGTGAAGCACATGCAGACGAAGTGAAATGCCCCATTTCTCAAATTCTCTCATCCATGTATGGATAGCAGATTTTGGAGTAAGCACCAATGGCCGGCTTCTCGGGTGAACTTTCAAGTAACTGACAAGAAATGAGATCAGCAGCAGAGTTTTTCCTGATCCAGGAGTATGTGCAACCACACAGCCACCGGTACTGGCTGTTGGATTATACATTTCCTCAAGTTGCAGCGATCCCGCCAAGTTCTTCCAAATGAATTCAAATGCATTCCTTTGGTGAGGAAGTAGTTTAGGCTCAAGATCTGGTATTAAACCCCACAGGTTCCCGGAGCCCCTCAGTTCTGAAAACTCTGGTCCCAAGATTGCAAGAAGAGAAGGATCAAGCACAAGATCATCATGATCCAAATTGCGGCATCCAGGTCTCTCCTTGTTATAGCCATTACCATTGGCCTGCATGGAACGAATATATTATGCATCCTGTCGATGACGAGTCAAAAGTGAAAGCAGTGAAAAGATGTTGAAATTGCTTTAATTGGACCTACCATTTGCGGAAAGATATGCTTTATCTCCACACATACAACATTGCATAATCTGCACACCAGTCCAAGCCCCTCGTCCAGCATGCAGTCATGATCACATGGATTTTCTTCACTTTTACCTAAACCGGCAGTGGTTTGATGAACTGCTTCTGAATGTGAGTCCTGAAAATTGTATCTGTTCTTATTCTCAAAGTGCGGAAAAAAATGAGTAGCATGACATACTTTTTTTTATGAAGAACATCAAGTAATTCACGGCATTATGATTGCAAGGGCGCGCTAACAAATTTCCTTTGATCCATTATTTGTATACATCCTTTTATATGCTAAGTTGCTAGAAGCAACAATGATCAGTCAAATGACATAACATACCAAAATGTTACTATGTCACAGCATGTTGAACATTGCACTTAAAATAATTTATCATATTGCAACCAAAAAGACTTGTGATGTAGGAGTAGATGTACAACTTTTAGCGAGTTCCCACGGTTCGTCTTTCCTAATTGGCCAATTTAGTAGCAGATAATAAGGAAATATCAAGCAAAAAAGATGGTTTTGGTTAACATTAAAATTATCCCAAAAATATCTCATAATCCCTAAGGTTTCATAGATAGCTTTTTCAGAAGTACAAACAGACTCAGGCTTGAGTATATCAGGAATTCAGAATGAGAACTATCTCAGTATCTTAAATAAGATAAGAACAAAGATGTTCATAGCCACAAAAGGGACACAGCTGCTTGCATATTTCCAAATTCAAGGTCCTCCATTTTCACGAGAAGTTAAAAATCATTTCATGAGAAAGTTGAAAAATTATAAAAGAAATACAAAGCTTACCTGATTTTTCTCAAGCGCTAGTGTGGTCAATGAGTGGTCCATTTCTTTCCAAAATTCCTCAAGACCATCTTTCTCTTCTTGACTGTCATTATCAGCAGAAGCTGGCCATGTAAAATTCACTTCTCCGTAAAAATCTTGACCGTAATTCATCATCGGAGCACCTAGATTGAACTCAAAGTCCCTCTCCATTTCACTCTGGATGTTTCCTATGCATTGGTTTATCATTTTCTTGTATTCTCTTTCGCACATGTGTTCCTTCCTTTTACGACCAAATGCTGGCTCAGAATTGCCATTTAGGCTGCGTGATGAAGTAAATGACTTCCGCCGAAGAGATAAAGGGGGGCGAAGATTCTTCTCCTTACTCTTTGCAGGTGTCCGTGGAACATGAGGACCCGGAGATCTTTCTTCAACTGTACTCTCCTCCTTAACTTCCACAGAGCTGGGTTTTTCCTTAACAGGAGTTATCCTTGCTGTGCTCTTGTGCTTCCCTTCTGTGGTGTTTGGGTTTTCCTTGACCATGAAAACGGTTGCACTTGTTTGTTTCCGTGTGATATTCACTGGGACCTCTGCATAGGTTGATTCTACTTTAACCGGTGAATCCCGACGCAAAGCTCTTTGTGAATTGCCATGCTTGGTGGAAGGCGTATCACGTCTCTTCCACCTGTCACGACCAAAATTAGGCGTATCATAGCTAGTAAAGCGCTCTGCTTGAGTTTTCCGACGCTTTGAGCGCCTCAAATCCACTTGTTCATACGAGAAAACATCCAATAGACCATCCAACTCAGTCTTGACCGTAAATCTCCTGTCTTCCAATTGACCATCCAATTCAGCCTTCATAGTGAATCTCATGCCTTCTGTGAGATTGTGCTTCTTTGCATGAGTGACAGGGATATTCCTGATAATTGGGCATAAAGCCTCATTGCGTAGTTGGAATGAAACTATCTCCATGCTGTTGCCAAAGCCTGGAGGTGTGCTGATGGAATCAATATTGCAACGCGCTCGGCCTCCTTTGATGATTCTGTAGATGATGTTTCCTTCTACCAACTTGATGCTGAACTCCATTCCATTCAGGATAGACAAAACTACGAGATGTGCAATTTCTTGGGAGAATCTTGCACTTAACAGCTTGCTTCTGTTGTGAGAAAGGCAGTCCTCTGCACAACTCCATTGTACGCTTCCCTCATGGAGCTCCTTAGGTTGGAGCTTTTGCAAGAGGAAGATATTGTTTAGGGTCACCAGCTGCTCTCTTCTATCAGATATCACTTGTCCATTTTCTGTATTGTCAGGACATTGGTTCTTGTAGAGCATAATAACAAACAAGCAGAGACACTGATCTTCAATATGATTTCTCTTGATTGTGATGAGCCTTGCATCATGACACAGTAACATCTGCATGTATAAGAGAATAAAGTAATCAAGATATGATGCAGTTTTCCCTATACAGTTCATTGGTAGTTTAAACTCTTGGTTCCTTCTTTTGTAGTAGGGTTTTTGTCATCTTAAAGTTTCTTCTAATACAAGAAGCCACACATTTGGGTCTGTGTGTGAGAAAAAATATTGATATTAAATTACGTGCATAACAGATGATGGTATGGCTTTTGCATTCAAGTCTTCATATTCAGCACATTATGTTTTTTTTGTTCCTAAAAATTCATTACTGTGTACTTTCTGAAGATAAAACAGAATGGGTATGTAAAGCTTTTACAATTAATCATAAATAGTAGGTTGACATACCGAAGATTTCATTTCCCCAGTCGCACTTCCTTGCAGTTGATGAGACGATTGTACACAGATATCAACACCCGGCTTGAGAACATGTGAGCAGTCAAAGTACGTAGCCCTTCTGGAACGTAGGCGCAGATGATCCCCATCCACATTATGCTCGACTGTGGAACCAGAGTAGATAAATTTAACGAACAGACCACCATCCCTGACCCTTATACAATTAACTCCATGCCATGAGCCATCATAAAATGCTTCAAATGCTGCAAGCAAAGGAGATATTCAGTTATATATAGATAATTTTTTATGTAAAGTTATATATAGATATTTGATCCTAGCAGTGTTTAATGGATAATTGACATGCTACTTGCTTACAGGTTTCACTGATGGGATGGCTCCGGCGACCTTTAGGTCCTCCCTTGAGCGTATCTTCAGCCATGTAGCTTAGCACCTCATGATGTGAAATTCAACTGCCTGCTAAGCAGAATTTTGTAATGGTTTGCTTCATACCGAAAAAGAAATCTGAATTTTTTGATCAACAATATTCTAAATGGACAGTACATGTCTGCCCCCGGTGGGCCATACAACCCCTAAATCTAGCATCAGTTCATGCTTTGAGATTCGCATGTTCTCGTCATCTTCGTTGTAGCACATCTCATTTCACATCTTAAAAAATTGAGCAACGAGATCTAGATTTGATTATTACTTAATCATTAGTTATCTTCCAACGCAGAATATATACATTTAAATGGATTTGCACAAGCAAAATATGAATTAATTCATCATAGAGAGAGCACAATGGTGCATAATATAGCGACATAAAACGTGAGAATCTCAAAGCACGATCTATGGTGAATAAATTCCACACTATCATAAATATCTACATCACTCTTCTTTTCTCCAGAAAAATGCAAGATTCATGTACTGATACTATTTTTTGCTGAAACAGAAATAAGGTGAGAGAATCTGCGACGGAGCAAAACGAAGATCCAAGAGGTCTAGATTCGACTCCTCGCAAAAAGAAAAGGAGGTCGAGATTCGACTATCACTTAATCGTTAATTATTTTCCTACGCTGAACATACATACAAATTGATTTGCACAAACAAATACTCCATATGCATGCAGAGAGAGTAGTACTCCTACAAATATAGCGACATACAACGTGAGAATCTCAAAGCACGATCTATGGTGAATAAATTCCGCACTCTTCTACGGAGTATCTCCATATGCATGCAGATTCGTTTACTCTATTTTTCTCGAGAAAATGCAAGATTCATGTACTAGTGCCGAACCGATACTGCTAATAAATGTGACGAAAAACAAATTGTCTAGTGCTGCTTATCCAAGAAAAGAAATCGTGTTTAAGAGCAAACAAAACACGGATTCGATCTGGTGAAACAGAAAAAAGATGAGAGAATCTGCGACGGAACAGAACAAACTCGAAGCGCCGGTGGATCCATGCTTATTTAAGCCTATTTCCTGCGTCGATCGACCAGAGACGCCCCATACACGAGAGCAAGAATCGACGGAAACAGAGCATATCCTCCCCGGACGTACCGACGGAATGGGAGGAGGCGCCGCTAGCTGCCGGCCGCAAAACCAATCTAGCGACGAGGGGCAATGGTTGCCGGCGGCGGAGCTAAAGAGGGGAACGTAGATTGCGATTGCCCAGGCGGGCGGAGGCGACCATGTAGATTGTAGAAGGTTCTTGGAGAGATGAGTGTGGAAGGGGAGCAAGGGGAGGGCGGAGGAGAAGGCTCTGGCCTCTGGGTCTCTTCGCTGAGGTGCGGTCAGGCCAAGTACTCGAGTGCACACGCTCGTCTGGGGAAGAGGCGAAGCAGCAACAAATGGCAGCGGCGACGGGACGTGACGGAGCAGCCAGCAGTAGCAGCAGGAGGAGGAGGAAGAGAGAGAGAGAGAGAGAGAGAGAGAGAGAGAGGCGCGCGCGATCATAGGGATGCGGGCGAGCTCTGGTGGGTCCGCTGCATTGACCAGTGTTGGAGGAGTAAATACTGCGCGGCTGGCTTCCAAATGTGAACATGTTTACTGCTTCTGCATTTGCTTTGGAGGAGTAAACATGTTCATTTACGTGCATGCACATACAATATGTTTTCTAGGAAAACTTATTTTATATTAATCAAAGGATGAATATATCGTCTGTCAGTAGACTCACAGGTGGGGCATCAATTCAATGAGATGGATTATTAGCACATCCCCATTTAGCCAGCGCATGAGATACATAATTTGACTCTCTAATACAATGCTTAATAGTAAACCTTCCAAAATCTACTAGATAACTACGGCATTCATCAAGAACCGGCGCTGCCACCATAGAATAGCCTTCGTTGAATCTAAGTGCATCCACCACCGTGATATTATCCGATCTCACCATCAAGTTATTGCATTTCATATCTCTTGTTAGCTTCAATCCTTCAAGCAAAGCTGTCGCTTTCTGCCGTGAATACATCAGCTACATGTTCTAATCTCGTTGTGGACGCCGACATGAAAGATCCCCGATGATCACGGATGACAGCACCACAAGACTCTGCATAATCGCCCTCTATGAATGAAGCACACATGCCCGTGAGTTGTAACGGGAGATTCTTTTTTTTTGCGTGAAGCAACAAGAAAGATAATTGATGTGTCTAAAAAAGGTCTCCACAATGATATTTGACGGAGTAAGGAGTTATGGTTTCTCGTTGGACATGTTGACACGTGAAATCTTGATAGTGGTGGGGTTGGTCGGCATGGTGGCGAGCACCCAACTCATGCCCTTTTTCCTCCGGGTCCGTCTCCATCTTGAGGTTGTGTCTGCCTCCTCATTTGGTGGTTGCGCGGCGATCTTCGGGGCACGGTTGCTTCGACCCCTCTATCCTACGACGGCGTAACCGGCGGATTATTAATTACAGTGCATAAATCTCATTTTATTAGCATAATCAGGCATGAACGTCCCTTCTTTTTGTCGTTTATTCCCTTTGATTATGTTAGTGCTCAAGTGCCCATAATTTGCTATAATTAAAGCCAAACAACATATTCTATTTTATTGGCACGTGTCCATGATTTTTTGGATTTATAGTCAACCAGCATAGAACGAACGCGCAACGCTAACCAATGGTCAGCGCGAATATTTAAGAAAATACTATAGCATCAGATTATGAATATTATTTTTTTAACATTCCAAAAATATGAATTGGTGAATATTCTTGGAAACATGAACATTTTTTTAAATCCCGAACAATTTTCAGAAAACGTGAAGATTTTTTTTGAAAAATGCAATACTTTTGGAAAAACACGAACAAAATTAGAAACATGAATAGTTTTTGAAATTCACAAATAATATTTTGGAACATGTAAATTTAAAAAAACATTAAAAAATAGAAAATGCGTTATACACAAATATAATTTTGCATTTGTGAAAATTTCACTAAAACAAGAATATTTTAAAAGATGGAACATTTTATAAAAAAATCTCGAAGAAGTTTGAAAAAAAGAACATTTTTTGAATATTGAGAAAATTTCAAAACGGGAATTTTGTAACAGTTTCGAACCTTTCTCAAAACAGGAACAAAAATTTGAAATTCTGACCATTTTTTAATATTTGAAAATAAATTGAAATTTCGAATATTTTTGTCAATTTGCACTTCACAAAGAAAATAAAAGTAAATCATAAAAACAGAAAAATAAATATAAAAGAGAAAGAGAAAAGAACAGAAAAATAAAACTAAAAATAGAACAACGAAAAAGGGGAAACAGGCCGGCCCAGTCTTAGGTGCCATCTGGGAAACTTCAACTATTTGTCGCTCCATGCGACAAATACCATCTTCCCAACTGCATGGACAATAATAACCGGGCTGGCTTCATTGGGCCGGAGTGCGCCTCGCCCAATTCCGGAATTCTGGACAAACTTTTTTTTTGTTTTCTAGCGGACAAACGCACAAAAATTTAGTACCACCTTGAATTGAAAAAAATCTTTTCGATGGTGAACAGATGAAAAAATTGAAGAAACGCACCTTGCTTTATTAGTTGGTAAATAGAGGTATAGATATATCGCCATGTACACATTTTCTAAAAAAAATTAAGGTCTATGAATAAATGGTAAGAGGAGGGTAATCATTAGTCCTATCTCAAAAAGTGGAGAAAATGCGAGATCTCTTCTCACCTCACTATGAACAAGTATAATAATGGGCTTAGTGCATCTACAGTCCCGACTTAGCAAATATGACTCCTAAACATCCGTGGACGTGCCTAGTCAGTGACCAGGTGTGTTCGTTTTTAAACCCCTAATTGTCTGTCCATACAACCACACTCTTTATTATTATTCTTCATATATCTGGTCACTTGCATGTGATTGGTGCAGATAAACAGAGAGAACGGAAAGAATGAATAAAGAAAGAAAGAGAAAAGGTGGTCCCGAGATGGGACGCGTCCGTCCTACGTAGCGGATTGACCGGGCATGTCCATGAGCCCTCATATCCTTTCTACATTTGTTCTATATGAGGGTTCGCGGACAGCCCAGACGTATAATGATGATATGAGGAGTCTACTTGGGTCACTTTTTTTTTCTCTCTCCTGTGACCGGGCGCGCCTGCAGATGTTTGAGGAGGATTCGAGGATGCCGGCTATAGATGTTCTTATAGCCCGCTTTCATGTCATTTTTACCTATGTGTAGGAGAGATACCTGAAAAAAATGAATAAAGTTGGCTCTCATGCAAGAACATATATGCTACCCCTCCTTCTAGTTTAGAGGGCTCATCTCAAAAAAATTAGATTTCCATTATATTAGGCTCACTTTGAATCCAATTGAGTTAAAGTGTTTTGAATCCCACGCCACATTTAATCCACATAGATGAGAGAGAGAAATAGTAGTGGTCATGCATGCATCTTTTTTGACATGCACCATGCAGGTCCAATTAAAGGGAGGGTCTTGCATTTATTGCTTCGGGAGTCGAACACATGGGAAATATTTCATTAGGCCGGAACTTCAAGCTCATCGGCAAGGAAGCAACTGAAGATGAGGAGCATGGCAGCATCGTCAGCACCGCCGCCGGCGCGGCGATGCAAGCTCCAACTTCGGCGGGTATGTTGCCGCTCGTGGTGTGTCCTTTTTGCCGTGTCCGTAGCATGATTATGCAAATCGAAGTAAATCAAGGACTACAACTAGTGATTATGGCAGAGTTATGGCATATTAGAAGAGTTACAGGAGAAGAACATCGACAAGATTAGGGTTCTTACGGTAACATGGAGGAGGATCGCTCACTGGTCGTTGCAGAAGGGGCATCTTCACGGGCACCCACTCAGATTGCCTCCAGATCACCTCCGGTTGCCGCCGTCGCTCGCCTCCAATGTCGCCAAAGTACCGTGAAAGAGGAGAGGGGGTTCCACTGAGAGGGGAAATAGATTGGGGGGTCTCTTTGCGAAGTTTCTCGCCTTGCGGTTGG